CTGCCAGGAGCTCTAGATTGGGAGCCCCGACCGCCTCTCCAGCTGCTTCTCTGAAGCCTATGCTGCCTTTCTTTCCCCGGGTTCCTTGAAGAGGTCACCTCTGGAGGCTTCCCAATATGCCTAGCCCGAGGCCAATGAATGCACTGCAAGGAAGGATCTTGGTGAAAAGGGAGGCTAACGGCGACACCTCCGGAGAGGCTGATGGTCCGTCAGACCGCCCTCCACCGCCCCGAGGACACACCAGGCATTGGGAGGGCTGCAGAGTAGACTAAAAGTGGGGCACTGGTGGGCACGCGCAAGGGGCCGAAGCTTCAAGTGCTGACGGGAGGAGCAGAGGTGCTCCCACTGAGGACAGGTGAGTGAGAAAGGGGGTTGCTGGGAGAGAAACCAGTCGGGGTAGAAAATCTCAGACTCGCTTACGCTGGTGTCCACAGTGGGGTGGTTGTCGCGATCGCCACTGGCTCAGTGCGGGAACGGCTGGGCTTGGAGGTGTTCGACTGGGCTTTCCTTAGAACTCTAGACACTTGACTTTCCGCCAAGTCACCAGCACTCTGCTGGCCGAACGAACGCTACTTCTCCGACTGTGTCTCACTTGAATTTCTCTCGGTGCCTTGTTTCTTTTCCCTTTTTCTGTTCTTTAGCTCTGTCTTCTATTTCCTCTACCCCACATTTTGGCACGGGTAGACTGTTTGTGCCTCAGTGGCTTCATCTGTAAACTAGGAACAAAAATATTGCCTAACTCACAGTATTGTCACGTTCCTCTGAAGGAAGCACAGGGTAGCCTCGGTGTGTTGTGGATGTTATGGTTATCACTACCACTACTGCCTTTCCTGAAAACACTTTTCCCCGCCTGAACTCCTACCAAACATTTCCAACCATTCCTTCTTGCACTTTTTAACATTTCATTTGTCATTGCGTGGCATTCCCGTGTAGCCAGCTGTATTTGATCCGCTAGGTCTCAAGTTCTTTGAAGGAAGGTTGTAATGACATAGGACCACCGCCTTCTCACCCAGAGACCTAAACCTGAAATACACTGGTTGGAGTGAACTGATAATGGATTGGAAAAGACACGAGTAGAGCTAAAACTGTATAACAAAGTAAACAAAGTATACACACATACACGTACATCCCAACGACAAATAACTGAACTAAATGAATCACTGATAGGAAAAAAACCACGAAAGCTAGAATGGAAGTTCCCAAGGATGGTTCCTCCTACTTTCGAACCGAAGACCTTTCGCCTTTTATAACTGAACTAAATGAATCACTGATAGGAAAAAAACCACGAAAGCTAGAATGGAAGTTCCCAGGGATGGTTCCTCCTACTTTCGAACCGAAGACCTTTCGCCTTTTAGGTGGCGCTGATAACCACTACACCACGGAAATAGCAATTTGGGTTGTCTTCCATCAACTTTGTAAGAGTTACGGTCCTCATCCAGTTCTCGAAGCTCCACCCACCTGGTCAGAGCTCTTGAAAGTTTTCCTGCGGCCCTGGGTAATGGTGTTTGTCAAACTGTGAAGTGTGACCCATAAGCGGGTAATGAAAATTAAACGTCCAATTAAATTAAAAAAAAAAAAAAAAAAGGAACGAATGAAACTAGCAGTCCTCGCAGGAGGAAAGATAAATGTGGCTCCGAAGCTTTAAGACTGGGTAACCCTTCCCATTGGTTACTTTTCTTTCAGAGAAGACAGCCAGAGGATTTACATTTTCACAAAGTTTGTGCTTTATTAACAATAACAATCGAGAGGATTAAAAAATGCAAAATGCATTCAAATTATATGAGATTTGGATATATTTTCGTCAAAATGTAAGTTAAAAAAAATATGTCATAAAATGAAATTTTTTATGTGCTTTAAAAAATAATTATATACTTCTTCTAATTATGCAAAATTATTTTTAAAACGGCAAAATTGAAATTAATAAATGTCAAATTTTGTCAGTGTTATTTAAATAAAGCTGAAATTTGTATTAAATTTTGAAAATTTAATGAAATATTTTAATTATTCTTATAAAAATAAAACTCGTCAATCCTAACATTCAATGTACAGAGTGGATGAGGCTTAACAAGTTATATGTACATATACATATATGCAAAGTTAAGAGTCATATCGATTGTTTAATATTGCAAAGTGTTTTTCCATCATCAACGCTGATTCCCGGATTCCTGGGGAGTCGGAATTTAGAACGGAGGCAGAATTTTGCTGAGCAGGGATCCTTGATGTGTCTGTGATCTAGAGGCCCCTTTAAACCAGGATGAAGGGCAGGAGCCGGTCTTGTTCAAGTCTAGTTCTCTAGTCAAGGTCATTATGGGCCTCCATGGAGCCCAATTCATGGAGGCTCTACTGCCTCCTCTATTAGACCGTGTGCTGAATTTGACTCTGCCAATCTCCCCCTTCGTTTTCCACATCACGAATCCCTTGGCCTCGGTAGAAGCTTCGCTGCTGGCTTTCCTCCTGTCCTGACTTCTGCTCCATCTACTGGAGGCCATCTCTCTGCAGAGTCAACTTCTGGCTCCCAGCATGACCTACACCCTAGCTCTGCATTTGTGACTCTAGCAAAGACCACTCTCTCAAGTTTCATATCCACCTGTGTCTTGGACATGTCCTTTTAGATGTCTCAAAGTATCATGCCCAACCTGTTCAAGAAAACTCATTGTTTTTCTGCTCCCCACTCCCCTATCCCTGTCTCTGACCTACATTATGAAACCACCTAAAGCAGAAACCCAGGGGCCTCCTCATCCTGCTGCCGTGCAAACCGTGCATCCCACTCTTTCACCAGCTTCTCCCTCTGGCTGCTGCCTCTCCCCAGAGCCCACCGCCTCCTGTCTGGACCATGACTGTGTCCTTCCAGACCCTGACCTTGATGCAGTCTCACTCCCCTCTAACTCCCTGCTTACATCAGTCCTGAAGGAATCCCTCTAAAATGTAAATCAGAGCGAGTTCCTCTGCCTCCATAGCCCCCATCACCACCAAGGGGAAAAAGACCAAAGATCCTACCAGGGTTCCTTGTGTTTGTTGTACGTCTGAACTGTTGAACACTTGACTCCTTTGTGCCCAGAGTAGCATGGATCACTTACCTGGAAGGACATCCCAAATCTGGCCTGGCCAGAGGGGCTACAGTGGAAAGGGCAGAGAGGAGAGGAAGCAGGAATTGTAGCAAAAAGCTCTGCTGGTCGTGCTCTCGGTTTGTTGGGGGTTGGGGAAGAGAAGCCTGTCCGCTTTGCCTTCACTTTAATGAAAAAGCCAGAATCTTTTAGGAGTGTTTCCCAGTCCCAGTGAAGATGGTAAGAAATGATCCTGAAACCACAATGTGCAAACGAATCCACAAGCATTTGCACAAGACAAAAACGCAAAAGTTCAAACTCTTTGAAGATCAGCTTGTTTAGACCCATATTTTCCAAGATAAGACCACAGTCACGGTAATTCCCCAGGGACGCATGTGGTAGGACTATACTTACAACTCTGCCTATTTTACAAACTCTGACCAATTTCTGTCCAGACTGCCCTTATAGGGTGTTATACTAAACCCTCCTCAATTGCCTCCTTTGACACACTTCTGAGACTGAAGGTGATGCTATCCTTCTCTTAGCAAGTTTAATAAACCAGCTTTACAGGATCTTTTGTGATCTGGTGTGCGTATGGGAGAACTTTGACAGCTAGAAAATAGAAAACGGGCTGTATTTGCAGGACTAAGGAAATAGTCAGCATAAACGAATGAACTTCAGCTGTGGTAAAGGAAGAATTTCGTGACAAGACGGTGAACTGAGGAGGTCCACATTAGAGTGTTTAACAAAGGACATTTTTACAGTCCTTTACATGTCAGGGGAAACTGGAGGCTGGAATGTGTGGGGCAACATCTCACAACAGATGGGCTCTTAAAATCAAGAGCATAAAGAGAATATGCTGAAGATGAGGATCTCAGATAACATAGAGCACCTCTTTACTGACCAGAAATCGAAACCAGGCCACAGAGAGTGGAAAGCTAACCACTAAATTACATAGTACGGTGGTAGTGAATCAGATTGATACGGTATGACATTCATAAACGCCCGGGGCAGCCCTAGGGTCTCACCCCAGATTCTCTAAGGCACTCCATCCTCTCTAACGCAGGTGGTCCCCATCACAAGGGCAGGTCATCTGGTAAACAGAACGCACCTAACACGTGTTGAGTGTGGGTGGATGGATTTTAGCAGGAGAACCCTCGCCTGAGTTGCTGACCTCCAGGAATTTGTCTGCAGGTACTAACTTCTCACTCATTCTACTAGGGCCAGCAGGGCTCCTAGGGCTGTGGACATATTCAATTGCAGGTCTTCCGCGCAGCTGCTGGGATCACCTGTTGTGGCCCAGATATAGCGTCTACCGTCAGTGTTGCCGCAGCTGCCGCTGCAAAGTCTTGGTCAGGAAAGTACCGTGTTGCCTTTGTAGCAAAAGTTCCTCTCTCGTTTGTAAAATAATTAAAAATGATAAAAAGAAAAATAAAGAAAAGAAAAAAACCACCAAACTTGGGGATCGAGCCCACGGTCCTGAGATTAACAGTCTCATACTTTACCGACTGAACTAGCCAGGGAGCTGGCGGGGAGTCAGTTTTCTGTCCCTAGAGACTAAGATCTACATGCAGAAGTGCAGGCATTCTTTGAGAAGTAATTGCACAAGTATTACGGAAAGCATACTGTGCGCTTAGCCCTGTCCTAGGCACTAGAGCCGGAGGATCCGAAGCTTGCAGATCCCTAGACAGGAGAGGTGGCTGCACGGACTTCCGGTGGAAAGAGCAAGACATGAGGAAAGGCGTGAGACCTGGATTTACATTGCGAGCACTTATAGGGTGGCTGAGGTGAGCGCCGCTTTGCTGCAGTCCCATTTCGCCGCCTGTTTCTCTGAAACAGAGGGACAGTTAGACAAACACGTCCTCCCTTCTATGCAACAGCCACCTTCTCCTCTGCACGCAGAAGAAGCGTTGAAGACTAGACCAAGGGGAAAAACAAAACAAAACTAAATAAACCTGTTTTCGCCCGGTTTCGAACCGGGGACCTTTCGCGTGTGAGGCGAACGTGATAACCACTACACTACGGAAACTGCGGTGATCAACGCTTGACCGGCGTCGCCCTGAAGCTACACAAGGCCGGGTATGGCAGAGTTCAGTAAGCCAGAGTTGCAGTAGGGCAGAGGTTCCCTGCACTGGCCGGCTGAGCTTCGTCCACGTTCTGTGGCCAGACTTCACCACAGTAGTGCCCGTAGCTCCTGGCAGCCTGGCATAGAGGACCTCACCCACGAGGGTTTGTGGTTTTGGCGTGTCTTCCGAGGCCCCGGAGCACCCACTTAGGAAGCACAGCACCCACTGGGAGTTTTCCCACGAAGCGGAAGCACCTCAAGACCAGGGTAACTTCTATACCCCAGGCCTGGCATCGCGTAGTGTCCCTCACTCACTGTAGATTCTGTATTCGAAGCGTGGCTCTCTAATTTCTCCCGCATTAAAAACTAACTAACTAACTAACAACTCCCTCCCCCCCCGGAGATATTTAAATAAAGCATCGAGTATTATTTCTAATCGCACAAAGAATCTATTTGGCAGAGATGCTCCGGCTACCACAGCAGCATCTTAACTAATACACTTCGGACAGGATTATTTGAGGTAAAATCGATTCCACAAACCCAATTTGAGCCCCTGCTGTTAGACTGGGACTCCATGAAGACACATCTCGAGGTATTTTGGGTGCGGGGCGTGAGGGGTGCACAGCTCAGAAAATATTTGTTGAATGAATAGAAGACACTTAGAAAAAAGGTGGGTTTTTTTTTTTTTTTTCTTTAAAACATTTGCTTGGTTCAAAATACAAAAGGATACATAAGGACAAATACAGAAAAGTGTCCGCCCTAGCCCTGACTCTCAGCCCTCCAGAGAAGCTCCGTTACTAGCCTTCCGCACACGACGATGATGATCAAGCGTCCCTAACCCTTGTACAGCTTTATGAGCTAAGCAACGTTCTAATCGCTTTACATGACACTGATTCTCACAAAACCCTCTGAGGCAGGAACTGTAACCCTTATCTGAGGAAACACAGTAATACAAGGATATCAAGTACACTTAACATCCTCCCCCTCTTTTTTACAGACGGTAGCAGTATATTCTACACCCTGTTCAGCACCTTTTTTTTTTTTTTTTTTTGCTTAAATACATCTTGAAGAGGTTTCCCTTTTTACGGCTAGAGTGTTCCACTGTGGAATGTGGATGTAACGATTTGT